CTGCTCCTCCTCCTCATCCTCCTCCTCCTCCCCTCTCTTCCCTCCCCCTTCGACTCTCTATGGGAGGTGGGACGGAGGAATAAAGGAGAGAGGTGACGAGGCCAACGAGGTGGGACGGAGGAGGAGGGAGAGAGGGGAGGGGAGGGGGAAGGGGGGGAGAGAAGGACGGAGAGAGCAGGGGGAGGCGGATGAATCCCCTCGTCTCCCTCCTCCCCCTATCTCCGCCCCCCGACGGGATGCACATGCAGCACGTGTGCCGAAAACTTCCAGTGGCTTTCTCTGCGATTAAGGCTCGCGGTACGACGCTAAGTGCGGCTTTTGATATCTGGGGACACCAAAAGAGGAGGAGGAGGAGGAAGAAGAAGAAGACGACGGAAAATAAAAGCACCCACTCCACCCTCCCTACCCCATCCCTTCCTCTTCCACTTGCCTTCGCACATGTATGCGCTCTCAATCCTCTCCTCTTGCTGTAGGGGTCGCAGGGTTGCGACTGGAAGTTGCACGCGACCCTCCCATCGAGTTAGTAAAGCCAGGGTCGCTTGTATCTAGACACCCAGCACAAAGCACTAGGCCGATAGCGCAAGCATTGCCTGGCCAAGGGGGCGCTGTTCTGTACAAGTCTGCTGAAATTATTCAGAAGCCTCTGGAGTCCCCTGGAGCCAGATAAGTACCAACAACTGCTCGAAAGGTCAAACTGTCCTCCTTTTCCTTCTCGTGAGCGTTTTGTTATTCGGCGTTTCGACACTGGGCGGAAGGGGGAAGGAGGGGGGGGTCTGGCTCTGGACCTCTTCTTAGTGCGACTGTTTGGAACCGTGCGTCCTACGGGGGAGGAACTCCACCTGCTCGAAACAGGCGCCCAAAAACAGCCAAGATCCACTCCAGAGGAGGGGGGGGAAGGGAGGATGCGAGGGCCCGCGCCGATCGGCAAAAGAGTGAATAAAAAAACGATCACCATTCTCCTCCCCCTTCTGTTCTCCTTTTCCTTCTCCTTTTCCTTTTCCTCCTCCTCCTCCTTTTCATTCCTTTCCTCCTCCTCCTCCTCCGAGAGAGAGAGAGAGATTAAACTGTCCTTCTTCTCCTTCGCCTCCTCCTTCTCCTTTTCCTTCTCCTCATCCTCCTCCTTTTCCTTCCTTTCCTCCTCCTCCTCCTCCTCCTCCTCCTCCTCCTCCTCCTCCTCCTCCTCCTCCTCCTCCGTTTCCTCCTCCTCATCATCATCCTCCTCCTTTTCCTCGAGAGGTCAAACCGTCCTCCTTCTCCTTCTCCTTCTCCTCCTCCCCCCCTTCTGTTTCCCCCCGCCCTCCCCCCATCCACCCGGCTCCCCCGCCCGTCGGCGGCGATCACAGGGAGGCGGGCTCGGGAGGGCCGCCGCCTCGTGAGAGGACGAGGGGCCTCCAGAAGAGAGCGGCCATCCTCCCGCTCCTCCTCCTCCTCCTCCTCCGCCTCCTCCTCCTCCTCCGCCTCCTCCTCCTCCTCCTCCTCCTCAACCTTCCCCTCCTCCTCCACAACCTTCCCCTCCTCCTCCACGTCTTCTCCTCCTTCTCCTCCTCCTCCTCGAAGATCAAAGCCTTTGTTGCGCTTTAGGCCCTCTATCTTTCTCCCTCTCTCCCTCTCTGGCCTCCTGAGGCCTTCCGGGAACCTCTGAAGAGCTCCAAAGACCCCCGGGACCTCGGAACCACAATTTTGCGGGCGAAGAACGGTACACAATAGACTTTTCCGCCGTCGGGGACGTCTGCCCCCCAGGCGGCTGGAAAATTTATACCCCCGCGTGGCACCGTAGGGGCAAACAAATTGCAACCGCCTGGGGGGCAGGCGTCCCCGACGGCAGAAAAGATTATTTCATCCCGCTCCTCGCCCCCCAAAATAGCGCCGCACGCCTGCGCCAGCGTCGAAGCCGCGCCAGAGCGGCGCAAACCTCGCGGAGGCCCCGGAGCGGCCTCCAGAGGCTTCCCGATGGGCCTCCAGAGGCCGTGGGAGGCCGAGACTCTGCAGGGCGCCGTCGAGGAGGCGCGCTCGAGGGACGGGGCTGAGGGCTCATCGGGGTGGAGAGCACGAGGGGAGGGCTTTGCTCGTTCTCGGTCCCCGGGGCTCTCTCACGTGGCCCCGCTTGGGCGTCGCTCACTGAGGGGGGGGGGCGACAAACGGGGCGGTAAGAAAAGTGCACGTCTCGGGCCCAGAAGGCGCCGTTTGGGGCCTCGCAGGGCCTTCCAAGGGGCCCTAGACGGCCCCTTTTCTGCAGCCCCCGCTGCTCCCATTGATCGCCCCCCCCCCACTGCGCGGCGCCCAATGAACTCCAGTGCTCTCACATGGCCCCGGGACTGGCCGAAAGATGCTCCGGATGAGTAGCCAGTCTCGGGAGGGCGCCCAAACCTTTGGGGGAGGATGCTGCTGAGCATGAAAACGACGCCAATGACAAATAGAAATGATCCCAGACATGATCGCGTCGGGCGGGGAGATTTTTGGCCGTTCTCGGCCCCGGGGAGCCCTCGCCAGGCCTCGGGGCCGTCAAAAAACAAACCAGGACGAGAAACCGGCCTCGGGGAAAGGGTCAGGACTTCCAGGGACGCCGTCCTGAAAAAATCCGGACGTCGCATGGCTGGGATGAACTTGTGATGCCTCTTCTGATTTCGAGCCAGCTGTGATGCCCATTCGTGCCCACCCAGTCCCGTTTGCGAGGCTTCCGGGATGGGAAGACGGGCCGCCACCCCCGGCACGGTTCGCGGAGATTTGTTCGACCCCTGGAGCCCCTTATGATGGAAGCTACGAAGGTTGTGAGGCCTCCTGGCGGTCCTCACAAGTAAGGCATATGATGTCCTCACCAGGGGGAAGGGAAAGGGGTACCTGATAAGGGCAATTAGAGCTAAAACCTCCCCAAAACCCAGACACGAGACAACCCGCGATCGAAAGGAGCGGGGGGTCCACAGGCGGGGAGTCACGCCGCAGCCGCCGCCACATCGCGGCGCCACGCTCCCGTCGAACACCTCGCTCCTACTCCCCCGGGAAAGCCCTTCAAGAGGCAGCACGAACCCCGCAGAAGCAACCCCCACGCGGCCCAAAGCCGCCAACCCCGAAAGGGCACAGAGTCCCCGAGCCCAACTCTAACCAAGGCACAGGGTCAAGATGAACCACCGAATTGCGGCCATGTGTCGGGCTGGTACCCTTCGTGCTGCTGCACCCACTCGCGCGTCATCCTCTGGAGGGTATCGGAGGCGAAAAAGCGGAATTGTAAAAGTCAGTAGTTTTCCGTAGGTTTTGAAAAGTCCTTGGCGCTCCCTTCGGCGGTCGACGTGGTCGCCGTGACAAAAGCACGACGTCAGAGGTCGGGGACCACATGCGAACCACGAGACAAGGCTTGTCTGAGCTCGCGCCCCGTGGAGTCTGGGCCGCCTAATTTCGTGCACCGCCGCCCCGCGATGCGCGAAGCGCGGTTCTCCTCGCGCCCTGGCGAGGCCACCTTGCACGAGCGGCGAATGCATCCATATCCACACCCTCGCGGTCTGGATTCTGGGGCGCGACCCCGTAGATACGTGGTCGCATGAATACGTCCCGCGCGGGACATCCGCGCAAATACGCCCCGTATCCGCGGTGTCGCGGCCAAGGGGCCAGGCCCGGGAGGCCATAGAGATACAGATACGTTTTCCGCCCACGAGACTCGGGGACCGGGGATCGATTGACCCGGGTCAATCAATGTACACGCGGGTCAGTCAGGCTTTGTAGGATTCTGCAAGATTCGGGCGTTGGCAGAACTGGGTTTAGTGGGACCTGGTTTAGTGATGTGTACCGGGGGCCCCCCCCCGTCCCAATCCACTAACCGGAATTGCCGCCACCCGAAAAACACCAGCTACGGCAGACCTGGTTTAGCGATTCCAATCCATATTCTGGACTTCGGGGACCAATCGCTAACCGGCTCCCCTTAACGGGGGTCCTGGCTATGCCCGAGAGATCCTGCGGGATCCCGCGGGATCCTGCGCGCCCCCGCCCCTGGAGAGGAGAAGCGCAGCTCTCCGGCCCGGGCCGCGACCCCCCGCTCGAATCGCCGGCAAACCGAACTCGAGGCGGGCCGGGACCGCCAGCATCGACCTCGCAGCGCATCGACGGGAGATCGAGCCGGGCCCTCCTGCTGGTTGGCCTGGCCAAGGGGTCGGCGTGCGCGTGTGGGGGGCACGCCCTTCCACGGGGCGCTGAGTCCTGCAAAATTCCCCCTGCGCAGGGGAGCCCCCCACGCTCGGTGCGGCGGGACGAGGCGCCAGGGCTCGCGGCGGCGCAGAGCCGGCGCGCTGGCTGCATCCGTGGCCCGAGCAAACATCGCCCGGCGAGCCAGCGGCGCAGCGGGCGGGCGGCCCTCGGAGGTGTCGCTCCGCCGGGTGGACTCCCTGCTCTCCGAACCGAACAGCGCCCCTGACAACGACGAACCGAACCGAACCGAAGCGGAAAGTTCCGACGCCGAACCGAACCGAACCGGACCCACTTCGGAACCCAACCTTAAGAGGGGCGTGTCCCCCTACAGGGGGATTGTCGACGAACAAACAAATATACTCGAAAAATGTTCAAAAATGGCAAAGGATACTCAAAAAATAGTCCCCAGACTATTTTTTGACTATTTTTGCACATTGCCCCTGTAGGGGGACAGGCCCGACTTGAACCTAACCGAACCGAACCGAACCGGGCCCTTCCTGCTCCTGGCGTTTTTCCTCGAGTTCGGCCTCTGGGACCCGGCAGCGGGCCCCAGGGCCGCCCACCGCGGATCCAGGGGTTGACTGCCTACCCCCTGCGGAAAGGGACCCTCCGGGGCCGCGCATTGCAAACAAAACAACAAAAGAAAAAATGCCGTCGGATGCCTGGGCCTGGTGCATCTGCCCCTGGATGGCCGAGCTCTGGATGTTCACTTCTCCGAAACCTCTCCAGGTCCGTGCCGCGAGCTCAGGGTGCCCGCCTGCAGCGGGCCGCGGGAGCTTCTTCAGCGGCGCCCGCGCGCGGGCGCCACGAGGGCACGCGAAGAAGGCCACGGCGCGCGGTCCTGGACGAGCTTCTTCCCCGAAGCCTTCAGATCTGCGACCTGCCTCGCCGCCGCAAGGGGGACGAGGATGCGACGGCGCGCGGAGGTGTCAAGCCGACGCTCGCCCGGAGCAGGTGGACAAGAGGCACAAGCCCTTCCACTCCACCCGCCAGACGTCGACAAAGGCAGGACGACGACGACAAACAACGACGACGACGACGACGCCGACGCCGACGCCGACGCCGACGCCGACGCCGACGACAACGACGACGCAGACAACGACGACGGCGCCGACGCCAACGACGACGACGACGACGAAAACGACGACGACACGACGACGACGACGACGACGACGACGCCGACGCAAACGCCGACGTCGACGCCGACGACGACGCCGACGCCGACGCCGACGACGACGAAGACGCCGACGACAACGACGACGACGACGAGGACGAAAACCAGGACGACGACAAACAATAAGCGACACGCGACAAGCGACAGCCCTTCCACTCCACCCGCCAGACGTCGACAAAGGCAGGACGACGACGACAAACAACGACGACGACGACGACGCCGACGCCGACGGCGACGACAACGACGACGCAGACAACGACGACGGCGCCGACGCCAACGACGACGACGACGAAAACGACGACGGCACGACGACGACGACGACGACGCCGACGCCGACGCAAACGCCGACGCCGACGCCGACGACGACGCCGACGCCGACGCCGACGACGACGCAGACGCCGACGACAACGACGACGACGACGAGGACGAAAACCAGGACGACGACAAACAATAAGCGACACGCGACAAGCGACAACCCTTCCACTCCACCCGCCAGACGTCGACAAAGGCAGGACGACGACGACAAACAACGACGACGACGACGACGCCGACGCCGACGCCGACGACGACACACGACGACGCAGACAACGACGACGGCGCCGACGCCAACGACGACGACGACGACGAAACGACGACGACACGACGACGACGACGACGACGCCGACGCCGACGCAAACGCCGACGCCGACGCCGACGACGACGCCGACGCCGACGCCGACGACGACGAAGACGCCGACGACAACGACGACGACGACGAGGACGAAAACCAGGACGACGACAAACAATAAGCGACACGCGACAAGCGACAGCCCTTCCACTCCACCCGCCAGACGTCGACAAAGGCAGGACGACGACGACAACAACGACGAACGCCGACGCCGACGCCGACGCCGAAACCAACGCGACGTCGACGTCGACGCCGACGCCGACGCCGACGATCGACGACGCAGACAACGACGACGGCGCCGACGCCAACGACGACGACGACGAAAACGACGACGACACGACGACGACGACGACGACGACGCAAACGCCGACGCCGACGCCGACGACGACGCCGACGCCGCGACGACGACGAAGACGCCGACGACAACGACGACGACGGGACGAAAACCAGGACGACGACAAACAATAAGCGACACGCGACAAGCGACAACCCTTCCACTCCACCCGCCAGACGTCGACAAAGGCAGGACGACGACGACACAACGACGACGACGACGACGCCGACGCCGACGCCGACGCCGACGCCGACGCCGACGCCGACGCCGACGCCGAAACCAACGCGACGTCGACGTCGACGCCGACGCCGACGCCGACGCCGACGATAACGACGACGCAGACAACGACGACGGCGCCGACGCCAACGACGACGACGACGAAAACGACGACGACACGACGACGACGACGACGACGACGACGCAAACGCCGACGCCGACGCCGACGACGACGCCGACGCCGACGCCGACGACGACGAAGACGCCGACGACAACGACGACGACGACGAGGACGAAAACCAGGACGACGACAAACAATAAGCGACACACGACAAGCGACAGCCCTTCCACTCCACCCGCCAGACGTCGACAAAGGCAGGACGACGACGACCGACGACGACGACGACGACGCCGACGCCGACGCCGACGCCGACGCCGACGCCGACGCCGAAACCAACGCGACGTCGACGTCGACGCCGACGCCGACGCCGACGACAACGACGACGCAGACAACGACGACGGCGCCGACGCCAACGACGACGACGACGAAAACGACGACGACACGACGACGACGACGACGACGCCGACGCAAACGCCGACGCCGACGCCGACGACGACGCCGACGCCGACGCCGACGACGACGACGAAGACGCCGACAACGACGACACGACGACGACGACGAGGACGAAAACCAGGACGACGACAAACAATAAGCGACACGCGACAAGCGACAGCCCTTCCACTCCACCCGCCAGACGTCGACAAAGGCAGGGACGACGACGACAAACAACGACGACGACGACGACGACGCGACGCCGACGCCGACGCGACGACAACGACGACGCAGACAACGACGACGGCGCCGACGCCAACGACGACGACGACGACGAAACGACGACGACACGACGACGACGACGACGACGCGACGCCGACGCAAACGCCGACGCCGACGCCGACGACGACGCCGACGCCGACGCCGACGACGACGAAGACGCCGACGACAACGACGACGACGACGAGGACGAAAACCAGGACGACGACAAACAATAAGCGACACGCGACAAGCGACAGCCCTTCCACTCCACCCGCCAGACGTCGACAAAGAAAGGACGACGACGACAAACAACGACGACGACGACGACGCCGACGCCGACGGCGACGACAACGACGACGCAGACAACGACGACGGCGCCGACGCCAACGACGACGACGACGAAAACGACGACGGCACGACGACGACGACGACGACGCCGACGCCGACGCAAACGCCGACGCCGACGCCGACGACGACGCCGACGCCGACGCCGACGACGACGCAGACGCCGACGACAACGACGACGACGACGAGGACGAAAACCAGGACGACGACAAACAATAAGCGACACGCGACAAGCGACAGCCCTTCCACTCCACCCGCCAGACGTCGACAAAGGCAGGACGACGACGACAAACAACGACGACGACGACGACGACGACGACGCCGACGCCGACGCCGACGCCGACGCCGAAACCAACGCCGACGTCGACGTCGATGCCGACGCCGACGCCGACGACAACGACGACGCAGACAACGACGACGGCACCGACGCCAACGACGACGACAGCGAAAACGACGACGACACGACGACGACGACGACGACGACGCCGACGCCGACGCCGACGCAACGACGCCGACGCCGACGCCGACGACGACGCAGACGCCGACGACAACGACAACGACGACGAGGACGAAAACCAGGACGACGACAAACAATAAGCGACACGCGACAAGCGACAGCCCTTCCACTCCACCCGCCAGACGTCGACAAAGGCAGGACGACGACGACAAAAAACGACGACGACGACGACGACGCCGACGCCGACGCCGACGCCGAAACCAACGCCGACGTCGACGTCGACGACGCCGACGCCGACGCCGACGCCGACGACGACGACGACGCAGACAACGACGACGGCGCCGACGCCGACGACGACGACGAAAACGACGACGACACGACGACGACGACGACGCCGACGCCGACGCAAACGCCGACGCGACGCCGACGACGACCGCCGACGCCGACGCCGACGCCAACGACGACGACGACGAGGACGAAAACAAGGACGACGACAAACAATAAGCAACACGCGACAAGCGACAGCCCTTCCACTCCACACGCCAGACGTCGACAAAGGCAGGACGACGACGACAAAAAACGACGACGACGCCGACGCCGACGCCGACGCCGACGCCGAAACCAACGCCGACGTCGACGTCGACGCCGACGCCGACGCCGACGCCGACGCCGACGACAACGACGACGCAGACAACGACGACGGCGCCGACGCCGACGACGACGACGAAAACGACGACGACACGACGACGACGACGACGCCGACGCCGACGCAAACGCCGACGCCGACGCCGACGACGACGCCGACGCCGACGCCGACGACGACGCAGACGCCGACGACAACGACGACGACGACGAGGACGAAAACCAGGACGACGACAAACAATAAGCGACACGCGACAAGCGACAGCCCTTCCACTCCACCCGCCAGACGTCGAAAAAGACAGGACGACGACGACAAACAACGACCACGACACAATTGCCGACGCCGCCGACGTCGACGACGACGACGCCGACGCTGACGCCGACGCCAAAGCTGACGACGACGACGACTCCGACGCGAACGCAACGCCGGCGCCGACGACATCAACGCCGACGTTGGTGCCGACGCCGACGACGACGACGACGCCGACGCCGACGCCGACGCCGACGACGACGACGACGAAAAGGACGACGACACGACGACAACGACGACGACGACGACGACGACGACGCCTACGCATACGCCGACGACGAAGACGACGACGACGACGCCGACGACGACGATGACGACGAATACCATGACGACGACAAACGACAAGCAACAGGCGACAGACGACAGACGACAGACCACGACAACGCCAACGTCGACGCCGACGCCGACGACGACGCCGACGAAGACGACGACTGCGAGGACGACGACGACGAGGACGACGCCGACGGTGAAACAACGACGACGACGACGACGAAGACAACGAAGACGAAGAAGACGACGAATACGACCACGACAACAGACGACAGACGACAGACGAGTGACGACAGACCACGACGACGACGACGACAACGACGACGACGACGACGACGATGACGACGACGGTGATGACGGTGGCGACGGTGACGACAAAGACGACAACGCCGACGCTGACTGTGACACCGACGCCGACACCGACGACGACGACGACGCCGACAACGCCGCAGACGCCAACCCTGACGCCGACGCCGACGACAACGACAACGACGACGACGACGACGCCGACGACGACGACGAGAACGGCAACGACGACGACGACGCCGACGCCGACGCCGACGACGACAAACGACAGGCGACAGGCGACAGACGACAGACCACAGACCACGACAACGCAGACGCCGACGCCGACGCCGACGACGACGATGACGAC